CTTTAAAGTTGGCGAATCTACTACTTTTGCAGGCAGGGCATTCCACGCCCTTACTACTCTGAGTAAAGAACTTACCTCTGACATCTGTCCTATATCTATCACCCCTCAATTTAAAGCTATGTCCCCTCGGGCTAGCCATCACCATCCGAGGAAAAAGGCTCCCACTGTCCACCCTATCTAATCCTCTGATCATCTTGTATGTCTCTATTAAGTCACCTCTTAACCTTCTTCTCTCTAATGAAAACAGCCTCAAGTCCCTCAGCCTTTCCTCATAAGACCTTCCCTCCATACCAGGCAACATCCTGGTAAATCTCCTCTGCACCCTTTCCAATGCTTCCACATCCTTCCTATAATGTGGTGACCAGAACTGTACGCAATACTCCCAAGTGCGGCCGCACCAGAGTTTTGTATAGCTGCAACATGACCTCATGGCTCCGAAACTCAATCCCTCTACCAATAAAACCTAACACACCGTACGCCTTCTTAACAACGCTATCAACCTGGGTGGCAACTTTCAGTGATCTGTGCACATGGACACCGAGATCTCTCTGCTCATCCACACTACCAAGAATCTTACCATTAGCCCAGTCCTCTGTATTCCTGTTACTCCTTCCAAAGTGAATCACCTCACACTTTTGCGCATTAAACTCCATTTGCCACCTCTCAGCCCAGCTCTGCAGCTCATCTATGTCCCTCTGTAACCTGCAACATCCTTCCGCACTATCCACAACTCCACCGACTTTGGTGTCATCTGCAAATTTACTAACTCATCCTTCTACGCTCTCATCCAGGTCATTTATAAAAATGACAAACAGCAGTGGCCCCAAAACAGATCCTCGAGGTACACCACTAGTAAATGATATGAAGTTTTTGTTATCTGTACCTATTCTTCCAAGCTGAAGAAGAATCTGTTGAAATTGCGTAGGCTCACACAAAACTATGAACATCCTTTCAGAAATTGAGCAGTAGTTAATGCATTTTGCATTACTAGTCAATGAATTATCTATAAATTACTCTGGGTAGAAAGCAACTCCAAATGACGTTGTCAAAATTAAATTATTCATGACTTATTAAATGAACATTAGTTCATAACTTCTGTTTTAACGCTGAATCATATGAAAATTCTCATTCTTAAAAGCAACTGTTTTTTCTCAGAGTTAACAAGATTGAAATTTAAGTTCACCACAAGTCAAGTGCAGTCATAAAAATCACCTTGAATCATCCCTGCTTAACGAAACAAATCTAACATCCAACTAGCCTCAATATATATGGCATTAAGGATTAATTATAAAACTATATTTACTGCACCATCACACATGGAGATGCTACGGCAGGTGGCCAGAAGATAGATCAAAGATGTGTGTTCTAGGAAGTGTTAACCAAAAGAAGAAAATAGGTAAACAGGAAGAGGCTTAGGGCTGGAATTCTGGAGCTTACGCAATTGAGGATACATCAATCAACAATGCAATGATTAAAGTGAGGGATGTGTAACATGACAAAATTGAACAGTTCCAGAAATTCCAAGCATTTGTAGGGCTCAAGGATGTTATAGAGATTGGAAGGGACAGGGCCATGAAAAAACTTGAATAAAGGAGTACAACCATTGCAACCGAGGTGTTGCTAGGCTAGAAGCTAATGTGGGTCATGAAACATTAGGTTTAATGTTGAATGCGACTTTGAACAAATGAGGATAAAAGCTAACTTTGGATATTGAGGTTAAGTGTTCAAGCCCAATTATGAAAGCACTAGAATTAATAAAGTACAGAGTTATCAAATGCATGGATGAAGATTTCAATTCATTAGCTGAACAGAGATGTATATTGAGTGATCATATGGAGATGGAAGTAGCGGTCTTGGTCATGCAGACAATGTCGTAAATTTGCTGATGACACCACCATAGTGGGTCAGATCTCAAACAAACAACATTACAGAGCACAAGGAAGAGACAGAGTTTTGTGGCATGGTGTAAAGACAACAATCTCTTTTTCAATGTTAGCAAAACAAAGGAGCTGGTTATTGACTTCCTGCAGCAGCATTGAGGACACACCGTTGTTTGTATCAATGGTGCTGAGGTGAAGGTGGTCGAGAGCTTCACGTTGCGAAGAATAATCTGTCCTGGTCCATCACGTCAACGCTACAGTCAAGAAAGCATACTAATGCCTCAATTTTCTCAGAGGGCTAAGGAAATTTGGCATGTCCACAATGATGCTTACCAATTTTTATTTTTGCACCACAGAAAGCATCCTATCCAAATGCATCACAGCTTGGTGCAGAAGGACCTGTTCTGAGGAAGGGTCACCAGACCTGAAACGTTAACTCTGTTTTTTCCTTCACGGTGTTGCCAGAACTGCTGAGCTTTTCCAGCAACTTTGTTTTTGTTCCTGACTTACAGCATCACCAGTTCTTTCGGGGTTTTTTTTTTAAGAAACCACAGGAAGTTGTAAATGCATCTCAGTCCATCACGAAAACCAGCCTTCCTGCCATCAACTCCATCTACACTTCCTGCTCCTTTGAGAAAACAATTAACAAAATAAAAGACCCTCTCCCAGCCTGGTTATAATTTCTATCACCCTCTACCATCCAACAGAAGACACAAAAGTTTGAAAACGTATACCAACAGCTTCTCCCCCAGCTGTTATCAACTTTTGAGCAGACCTCTTATATATTAGAGTTCATCTTTCTCTGCATCTTGCCTGTAGCTGTAACATTATTCTGCGTTCTATTCCATTACCCTGATGTACTGTTATAAGCCATGTCTGGATAGCAAGCAAAACAATACTTTTCACTCTCTCTCAGTAGATGACAATAATAAATAAAACAAATCAAAATCATCTAAAATACAAACAGAGAATAGTGGAAATGCTCAGGTTTGCAACAGTCTGCTTCTGTGTGAAGGAAGTAGGATGTACTATACTGCTAGGAAGTGGAAGTTGTGCAAGGGTGTGAAGACAATATTTACAACATTTAACTGAAGAAAATTCTGTACACATAAAGAAGGGTTATATCCAAGATAATATCCAATAAAGCCATGAACAAGCCAGTTGATGTATCAAAATAATCCCACAATTACTCTTTCTGAAAAATGCCCTGCAGGTAGTAATTTCAACATTAGGTGAAGCTGAGCGTAGAGCAAACCAGCACAACGAAAGCTATGATGTGCACCTCCTTTTTTTGTACTGCCACTAGATTCACTATTTTGAAAATAATGTTAAGTAAGGCCTCCATGCATGCTAAAAATCTCAATTTTTAAGATCCACATGTACATAAGACTGGCTGTCATTTTTTTCTAGATTAGCATCCATGAAAACAAACACAAAACAGCTATATAGTTTTATATCTTTTTATTTAACTAGTTGCAATTTCTCTTGAATTGATTGTGACTATCTGCCAAAATTAGGGTGAAGCATGTAATTGATTGATTAATTAATTGATTTTATTGTCACGTGGACCAAAATACAGTGAAAAGCTTTGTTTACGAGCGGTACTGGCAGATCACAGCAAACAAAGGACGTACAGATCAAAAAGACTTAGAGGCATACAGGTTACATTGCAGATTACATTATTTGCTGCAAGAGTCCATTCAACAGTCTGACGACTGGAAAGAAGCTGTTCCTGAACCTGCTTGTGCGTGTGCTCAGGCTTCTGTATCTTCTGCCTGACAGAAGTGGTTGTAGGAGGTCATTACCGGGATGCGATGGGTTTTTGACGATGTTGACCATCTTTCCACGGCAGTGAGCTGTGTAAATAGAGTCCATGGGTGGAAGGCTGGATTCTGTGATGGTCTGGGCTGTGCACACCACTTTCTGTAGTCTCTTATGGTCCTGAGCAGAGCAGTTGACATACCAGGCCGTTATGCACCCGGACATTATGTTTTCGATGGTGCATCTGTAGAAGTTGGTGAGGGACCTTATGGACATGCCAAATTTCCTGAGCTGCCTGAGGAAAACGAGGCATTGTTGTGCCTTCTTGACTGTCCCATCCATGTCGACCAGGATAGGTCATCTGTTATTATCACTCCGAGGAACTTGATGCTTTTCACTCTCTCAACCTCAGTTCCATTAGATGGGGGGGGGGGGGGGTGTTTCTCCTCCTTTCTTTCTGAAGCCGATAATCAGTTCTTTAGTTTTGCCAATATTGAGGGACAGATTGTTTTCATTGCACCACGTCACCAAGCCCTCTCCCTTCTGTATTTTGAGCTTTATATCTCAAGATGTAAGAATTTCATTGGAATACTAATATACAGATTACTGATTTAAATTATGAACCGTTTCCAATTTAGATGACTGGAGCATAGTGTATTACATTTCAAATATAAAACAATATCAATTGAGCTCAACATAACACTTGTGACAACGGAGAGAAACGAGCAACCATTCAGGTTCCCTGTGACCAACATTTTGGACAAGTGATGAGCAGCTTGCTCAATTCTCATCAGGAAACATGCAAATTAAACCACACTAACTCGTTTTTTTAATTCAGCCCTAGGATTTGACCATGCAAGTAAAGCCACCGTTTGCTGCCCACCTCTAAATGCCCTCAAGAAGTTGGTGCTTTCCCTTCAGCCATAGCACTTGTTACTTCAAAGATCTCCAATGGATTGGTCAAACATGATTTCCCTTCCACAAAACCATATTGACTCTGATTACATTGAGCTCATCTAAATCACTTCTTTTGAGAGGGGGAACAATCCATCATTATTTTCTCATGATTTTGAATAGTTCAATCAGAGCTTCAAACAAACAGATGTCCTCTCAGCCTTCTCTCTAATTTATCTTCGCAACTAAAACTCTTAATCCCTGGAACGATTATTGCAAACATCTTCAGCATCCTCTCCACATCCATATATGGCCTTAATATCACTAACACAACTACTTGACATGTCAACACTTTGAAGTCACATTAACAAAATGTCAAACATTCCACTCATTCAGGGTACCAATTCAGTAGAGGTATCCTGATTAATTTCTGCATGTAAAGCAAAATTTGTAAGAAGTACATACCATTACTTCTAAATTCTTGTGAGGTTCCACAAAACCATGCACTGTCAGTTTACGAAGAACTAAAAAGGAAAAGAAACATAAAATGAGACATCCTTAAGTTGGTACCATATTTCTTAATCGTTATGTTTTGCTCAAATAGTTGTACATAAATTTGTATTTCAACAATTATTGTGGACTTTTAATAATAATGCAACTTATAAAGAACCAGTTGAAAACTTCACAAGATTACGTCCACTTTCTACCACAAACATTCAATGAAAAAATGGCACTTTACTGAAATAGAGGTTCACATAATGGTTGAAACAAAGAATCAATAGCTCATATTAAAATGGTTGCAGACTTGCATAACGTAGCCAGTGTCCAAGAAGGGAAGGAAAAAGAAAGGGAGAGAGGCGCATAGGCACATGAAGGGGAAGAGAGGGGAAACACGCACGAAAGAGGGAGGGAGTATGCATGGGCACTTGAACAGGGTGGGGTGGAAGACATCACAGTCGCCCTCGGGGGAGAGAGGGAGTGATCACAAGTGCCTGCGGAGGGAGAGAGACAAAATTAACCAGTTATAGTAAGTTATTTTCATTTGTTGCAATTCTATCCTAGTGTGTATTTGCATGCAAGTTTTATAAATTGGTGCTTACTCTTATGTTTCATGTATTTGTCTGCATGTGCTTTACAAGACCATAAGACATAGAGAAGGCTCAATGGCTAAATGTCTTTCTTCTGCTCCCATGTCTTGTAATCTAATAAAGCATACCCAGGCAAATGTATTAAACATAAAAAGGTAAGCAACAACTTGTAAAACTTGCATGCAAATACACACTAGGACAGAATTGCAACAAATGAAAATTGCTTACCATAGCTGATTAAACTTCGTCTCTCTCTCCCTCTGCAGGCACTTGTGATCGCTCCCTCTGAGGGCGACCATGCTCTCTTCCAGCCCCACGCTCTGCGGGTGCCCATGAACACTCCCTCCCTCTCAGAAGAAAGGCATTTAGCCCATCAAGCCTGCTCTCTCATTCGATGAGATCATAGCTGATCTAATTATCCTCAACTCCACTCCTGCCTTTTACCAATAACCCTGGATTTCCTTAGTGATTAAAATTATGTTTATCTCAGGTATACATAACCAAGCCTTGACCGCCCTCTGCAGTAAAGAATTCCACAGATTCACTACCCTCAATAGAAGAAATCCCTGCACATCTCTTTTAAATAGGCGACTCCTTACTGAAATTGCATTATTCAGTTTCAGACACTCATATAAAGGGGAAAGCAACATTTCCATTTCTACCTTTCAAGTCGCCCAAGAATTTTTTTGTTTCAATTAGGTCACCGCTCATTCTTCTAAAATCCAAGTTTAAGGCCAACCTTCTCAACCTGTCCTCATAAGACACAGTCTCTTCTTGCCCACGACCAGCCTATAGACTGCCTCCAAAGCCAGTATATCCTTCCTTAGATAAGGGGCCCAAAACTGTTCATAGTGTTTCAGCTGTGGTCTGACCAGTGTCACTTTCAACTCCTCTCTCCAACAGCACTGCATCACACGGACTCAGGGGTACCCCACTCAAATGTTCCACTTCATCCTGCAGCTCATTCGTCCGGCTAACCAGAAACTTTTTCTTTTCCTTTCAGGCATCAAAGCCCACAAGATTCAACAACTCAGAGATACCAATGGCCTGCTGGATCCTTCCTCCTCTCCCCTTCCCTGTGACTTCATCCCCACCCCCAACTCCACCTCCTGTCAGGTATTCATTTTCTTCACATCACAGGGTGGCCATGGGTCCCTGCACGGGCCCCAGTTAAGCCTGTCTCTTCACAGGACACATGGAAGATTCCTTGTTACATTCCTATTCCTATTCCTATTCCCCAGAATAGGAATACCACAACTCTTTGTGATATATCAATGATATCATCGGTGCTGCTTCCCTCTCTCTACCGGAATTGGCAAAGTTCATTGCTTTCACTTCCAATTTCCATCCTGCCCTCACTTTCACCTGGTCTATCTCTCTATCTTTGACTCCTCCCTTCCCTTCCTCAACATCTCGGTTTCCACTTCTGGGGATAGACTGGCCACTAATATCTACTATAAACACTACAACTGCCCCAACTATCTGGACTATACATCCTCGCACCCTGCTTCCCATAAAGACTCCATCCCATTCTCTCAGTTCTTCCATCTCCGTCTCATATGTTCAGATGAAGCTACTTTGACAGAGGAGCCTCCGAAATGTCCACCTTCTTCTTCAACCGAGGATTCCCCATCACCATCATCGACAGGGCTCAGAACCGGGTCCAACCCATTTCCCGGACTTCTGCCCTCATCCCCTCACTTCCCTCCCACAACAATGATAGGGTTCTCCTTGTCCTTAGCTACTATCCACCAGCATCCACATCCAGAAGATCATCAGACACGATTTCCGCCACCTCCAGCTAGATGCTGCCACTACCAGACACATATTCCACCCCCTCCCCATTTCCACATCAGCAGGGACTGCCCCCGCCCTGGACACCCTGGTCCACTCTTCCTTCACTCCCAACATCCCCCAGCACTTCCCCTGCAACTACCAAAGGTGCATCACTTGCCCATTCACTTCCTCCCTCCTTAGTTTCCAAAGGCCCAAACATACCTTCCAGGTGAAGCAACACTTCACCTGCACTTCCCACAATGTAGTCTACTGCATTTGCTGCTCACAATGTGGTCTCCTCGACATTGGGAAAACAAAGCATAGACCGTTTGACCACTTTGCAGAACATCTGTGCTCTGCCCGCAAAAAAGACCGAGCTTCCAGTTGCCTGCCACTTCAACATACCACCCTGTTACCTGGTCAACATCTCTGTCTCAGGCTTGAAGTGTTCCAGCGAAGCACAGCACAAGCTGGAAGAACAACACCTCACTTTCCTCTTGGGAACCCTGCAGCCCTCTGGATTCAATATTGAGTTCAATAATTTTAGGGCCCGAACTCTCCCACACACCAGGCCTTGTTATCACATAGTCTGCCATTACACACCACCTACTGTTCGTCACAAACTGTCTCCATCGATACATATTCACCCTCCCAGCACGATCGTTATCAACTCCTTTGTCTGTCCAATTGCTCTTCTCTCTCTTTGGGCTCTATCCCCACCAATCGTTTACTCCTTATCCCCTCCCACCACCTCTTTACAGCTTCCAGTTATCCATTCGGCCCAACAGGTTGACATCGACCCTCAGAACAGCATCCTAGCCCAACTCCCACCCCAACTCCCAGGCCTATCCCTGTAAGTCTGCATTTCCCATGGCTAATCCACCTAACCTATATATCCCTGGACACTATGAGCAATTTAGCATGGCCAATCCACCTAACTCGCACACCATTGGACTGTGGAAGGAAACCACAGCACTGAGAGGAAACCCACGCAGACACGAGGAGAATGCGCAAACTCCACACAGTCACCCAAGGCTGAAATTGAACCCGGGTCCCAGGGACTGTGAGGCAGCAGTGCTAACCACTGAGCCACTGTGCCACCCCAGAGTCCTTCATGACAACCTCAGCTGGTGTGGGAATTGAACCTACACTGATGGTATCACACTTCTTCACAAACCAACTGTTCAACCAACTGAGCTAAACCATCTTCTCTCAGTGTTGTAGACCTCTATAACTCTGAGATCTAGATAATTTTATCACAAAACTTAAGAGTTCTGAAACTGACCCCTGAGGAACTCCATTACAAATTTTCTTCCAGCTCAAAACAATTTCACTAACCATTACTCTTACTGTCCAAACCTTCAACAAAATTTTCTATCCATATTGCTACTGTCTCATTCCTTCCATAAGCTATAACATTTGTCACAAGTCTGTTGTTCCTAATTAACCTGCATTTGTAACTATTAATCCCATTGCAAATTACTATTTCAAAATGTTTTCCCACTATGAAGATAAACTGAAAAGTCTGTATTTGCTAGGCTTATCCCTACAACTTTTTTTTTTTTTGAGTAAGTGCATTTCATCTACTCCTCTCCAATTCCTTGGATGAAGCTCATCTGGTCCAAGCCTTTCAATATTAAATGCCAACAGTCGACTCAAGGGCACCTTATCAGTTTTAAATCCTTCTAGTGACTGAGAATTTTCCATTGTCAGCTTGACTTGGGTAGCATCTCCTTCCTTATTAAAGAACGATGCTAAGCATTAATACAACATACATCTGTCATGCGCCTGCCTCAACGTGTAGATTGCATTCTTGGAACCAAATTGGCCTTACTCCTCCTTTTTCTACTACTTCTGTGACTATAGAAGACTTTGGCATTCCCTTTATAGTTGCTGACAGTTTTTTTTCCTGCCTTCGCTGTAACTCTTTGCTGTTTTTATTTGCCTTTTCATCTCCCTTTGGAAACTTCTGTATTCAGCTTGAATCTCAATTAGATTTTTGTACACATTTTCTCCCTTTTTCTTAGTCTTTATCTCTTTTTACATACAGAGTGCTCTGGGATCATATGTACTATGTTTCCCTTTTGTCCAAACCATTTCTTCTTTGAAAGTGGCCTATAATTCAGCCACAGTTTTCCACCAACCTTTAGTTCCAGTATATCCAGTCCTGTTCCACTCTTGCCTAATTGAAGCCAGCTCTCCCCCAGTTAGTTATTCTTCCTTTGGAATGTCCATTGTACTCTTCCACTGCCATTGTAAACCATTATAACACAATGATAACTTTCTCTAAAATGATCCCACTGACACTTGATCTACTTGACCCACTTCGTTAACAAGAAATGAGTCTAGCAATGCCGCCTTTTTGTTAGGCTGAATACGTACACTGCTGTAGAACATTCTCCTGAATACTGTTAAGCCTCACTTGGTTAGCATGCTGTAGGTCAAGCCTCAATAGTCCTGGAGTCATTAGAAAAGTTAAAGATTTTATACAAGCATGCAAACTGTGTAATGCACTTGATTTTCAGATCCAGATTGACAGAAAGCACTACTTAGTATTCTTGATCAGAATACGGCTTCTTAAATGTTTTCACTGATTTAAAGGAGGCACAGAGTTGCTAGTTCATACTTATAAATGGGCTCTGACTTCCTAATTGAAAGTCAAAGTTTTCATCAACCGAAGGAAGAATGAACTGGTTTTCTTCAAAGTGGATTGTGTTACAGAGAACAGATCCTGAACTAGTGAAGATCTGTAGCTTCTTCCCATTTTGTTTACGGCCCCAAGATGTTCAGCTATCTGAGAACCAAAGTTATTGGTAGGCAAAGCGCCGTTGTCACGGATAACTTCACTAGTCCACAGACTAATCAGATACCATTGCTGGCTGAATCGTCATTTGTACACACTGTTAACTCCAGCTCAGTTCCACCTTCTCCTACTTTGTTTTAACCAGCAGCTGAATAAAGAATGCTTGTAAGTGTCAGGCTACTTGCTTTCACAACCATGCAGTAATCCTTCAGCAATCCTTCATTTCTAAAACAGTTACTTTCTCATTTCAATACAGAAAAGAATATTTTCACACAGAATAATAAGAGGAGACAGCCTTTACAATGCAATCTAGGAATGCTTGCCTCTGGCTTTCCTTTACAGGAGCAGTTCCCAACCTTTTCAGTATCAAGGTACACTTCAATGAAACAAAAAATTCTACACGGGACACACTTTTTCAGCTGAATTGACTGCTCATAAATGTCACACTTACTTACTGTCTTACTAGAGACATAGTACATACAATGAGCTAAAGGAGAACCAAAAGCATTCATGTTTCAAATCCACTGGTAAAAATATGCTATCTTTGACTACAAGCATAGACACATTTTCAAAACCTGCTCAACTCAATAATTTCTAATTGTTAATGATGAACAATGCATCACAGCAAAATGCAAAGTAGGATAAACTGTAATTCACTGGGTGAGTGGGAAATCTGGGCCACTGGTATGTTCAGTGCCTTTTGATCCAGGAAAGAATTGACGAGAGGGCCACCTACTAGTCTTGCTCCATCGACAAGCTCTCCCACCTGTTGTTTTTCACGTACGCCAGTGCTGAAAATGCTAGATAGCAGGGGTAAGTGGTCGGAAATAGCAAGAGTCCAGCAACAGCATGGTCAGAGATTGTTGGATATTCATGTACCCCAGTGAGCCAAAACATGTAGATAGGCACCTCTCTAAATTTCAGCTTCATTGTATGGTCCATCTATGGCACTGCAAATTCCTCTTTTCCTTTTAAGTCAGCTTTTGAGATGAATCAGAAGACAGTGAGCTAAACATATCATGCATCCAGTGTGGTGCTCCATAAGAAGAATTCAGCTTCTTTCGCAGTGCTTTCAGATGTTTGAATGAGGCTGTGCATCTTGACAGCTAGGTCTGTTGCTGATGATGACTGTAGAAACACCTCAAGTGAACCTCCTACCAGTATCTTGTCAAACGTCCAGTTTTAACCTGAAACCTTGGAAGTTTACCTGAGATGGTCAGGATCATTTCCTTCTTTCCCTGCATTTTGGTATTCATTTCATTCAGCTGGCTGAAAATGTCTACAAGATATGCCTGCATAGCCCACCAGTAATCATCAGGTAGTAACTCTTTATAAGGTGGTTCATGAGCTGTTGAAAATTCTCAGTTCTCTCTGGAGCTCATGAATACAGGAGAGAACCTTCCACCATGATAACCATTGCATCGCAGGGTATGATTTCAATGGCCATGATTTTATATACTTCGTGATTTTCATGGCTTGCTCTAAGACTGCACTATCTCAGCTGCAATTTTTTGTCTACAAGAGCTGCACGGTGGAGGATGCAATGGGTAATCTGAATGTCAGGACTTTTCGCTTTCACCTTACTGACAAACCGTTTGATGTTCCCGGTCATGCAGACTTCCATCAGTCAGATTTTCCAACACATGACCCAACTAAGTTTGTTTTCCCTCAAATAGGAATCCATTACCTGAAATATTTCTTTTCCAGTTGCATGACTTGGTAGCTCCTTACAAAAGGAAATTAAAAATCTTTTAATTGGAATTCCCATCAACATACCAAACATTGGCCAGCAGCTGGTAATGCCCGTTTACATCAGTGGACTCATCAATCTTCAAAGCAAACTTCCCACTAGTAAATAATTTCTCTTGCAGCACTTCTTTGATATCAAATTACATGTTATCAATTTGCTGTTTAACTACTATCAGAGTGAAATTTTGTCAATTTTTTGGCAGCATCACCTCCGGACATCATGTGATTTTTTTAACATGCAAGCATGGTATGGGCCTCCTTTGATTTTACAACAAGCTCAACCACCAGGGTTTTGAATTTTATCCAATGTCCGCACATACTCCATCAGATACTGAGTCTACATGATGTTTTAATCTCTGAAGCTCTTTAATTACTGCATGTCAGAGTCATTTGCTTGCGTGCTTGCTTGCTAGAGTTGAATGCTTTGTGTGTAGGCAGTACTATTATTACTTGGTACCATTACAGTGGTTGGTAACTTCTCTCTGCAGCTGAGCCATTCAGGCAAGGGGCAAACAGCACCTCCTGTCCATGAAAATCTAAAGGCCAGACAGCTCTCATTGCACGGTCTCTCAACAGTTCTTGCTTTTTTTCCTCTTTGGGTTCAAATATTTCATTAATTGAATTGGCAGAGGAATCGCATCTTTTGACAAGAAACTTATCCATTTCTTCTTAGAATCTATTCTAAGACTTAGACCTGTGGCTTAAGTAACAAAAAATTCCAAAAATATTCACCTTAAAATCAGTACTACCAAGGAAACATTTTCAAGCAGGCAGGCCACTTCAAAGGCTGCTTCAATTGCCCGTCTCTCATCCACTGCTGCCCTTCTCGATTCTTCATTGAACCAAGGCTACAAAGTCAGTGGTCAGTATCAAATGAAACCCTCTGTCCAGTAAAATATTGGGTACTTAGTGCACCCTTATGTGATGCTGGAGAAATGAAACTTATTCATATACTGTTAACTGAAATCTCTTCTGCGATTTTATTTATTTGATTTTTTTTTCTTTGCTATTTGCTGCCTATAACTAACAAAGGAAAATATGGTCATTGTAATACATTCTGGATATTATTGTTCCTAAGTAGCAGTACAAACACGACATCCTAAAATATTAATTAATATCAAGCCTCTGAATCAAGCAAATTGCTAACTCTGTATGCAGTTTTACTCAACTAAGGGAGCAGCTGAAACATTCACCATGGACAAAAATGACAACTTTGTTCTAGTGTTCAACAGAGGGAAATGTTTTAGTTTGCCAAATATAACAAGGAAGTTTAACATAAGTTGGCTAATGTAATCAAAGAAACGACATATGAAGACAAGAAAAGTGAGCATGCCAAAGATGAGTTCTTGAAAAATTCATAACACATTATTTCAGGAGCCCAGAGCAGAACTTTTGGCTATTGCTAGACATTTAATTCTATCCTATCCGTCAGGGAATGGGGTCATGCAGAAACCATAAATGCCGAGAAAAATTACTTCTTTTGGTTTACTGCAACTATCACCCATAAACTTCTCTGGTTAATGAGAGCAGTGTATTATTCTCCAAATTCCAAAATCAAGTGCCAGCCTAGATCATGTTCTCAAGACTCCGGAATGGAGCGTGAATGCATGGGCTCGGATTCCCTCTCCATGTATGCGGTTTGATCAGATGAGTACGGTCAGCATTTTCTTTACTGAAACTAAAGTTCCAAATCAAATTAATCTCATATTAGCAAATGTTTGCTACTTTCCTGCAGAACCAAAATGACAAGAGTTAAACTTAAATAAACATGAAATTTCCATATACCATCTTGGAAATTGAAGACAGCTGGTTTTATCAGTTGGTAGCTGTGTTCAATAGCAGAGCAAGCTCAAGAGGCAAATGGTCTATTCTGGATTGCATAAGTTCTGTAAAGACTTCCATTCAGATAAACACTGTCATGCTGATGAATTTTTTTTTTTAAATGAATTTTCTCAGATGTTGCACAGTATCTGACTCACAGACTGAAAACACCCTATGTAATAACAAACAGCCAGTCAAAAGTTCACAACGACCTGTGCAGGTGCTGTACCTTGAAAAATTCGGCAAAATCAACTTTAAATTTAACAAATTGATGCAATTCAATTAAACTCAAACATTGTATGGCAGGTACAATCCAGCCAAAGATGTTTATTTCAGGATTGTTTATAACAAAAGATACCTTTCAAAGAAAGTGAAGTTCTTTCCAGTGAATTAATAGCAGCTGCATCCCCTGTATATATTTGCTGTAAAAAAGTGTCAGTATGATGATTCCATAGAGAGCAGGCAAAGTTGTAGATCCCTGATGCCAACTGCAATAAATAATAAAATTTTGTGTTAAAGTTTATTGCCATTGTTGCAGGATAACACAGTCGCACAAAGATGAAGAACACTAAAAGTTAGTGTACATATATCATACTACATTTTGTTGCAGCTTACATGGCAAGACACAGCTTCCAGCTCATATACAGATTTTGGTACCACTCTGGAAGAGATTATTTAATAGACCAAACCTTAATTAAGTTTATCATTAGCCCTAACAAATGAGTGCTTGAGGGATGTACCCCTCCCATGGTGAAAGGGTCTGCTGGTTGAGAATCCGCCTGTTCAGTTACATGAAGAAAATCACAACACTGACTAGACATCACCCTTGAATCAAAAGGCAGCCAACAATAGTGACATGGTGCACTCATACCAACAGTACTGCTAGGAGATAAGTGCCAGCTTTTTTGACCTGGAAATAATGAAAAAGCAGTGATACAATTCTAAGTCAGAATAATGGGTGACTTGCAGAGGAATATGTCATGGTAGTATTTCCACATATCTGGTGCCCTCGTTTTTCTAAGTGGTAGAGGTCACGGGTTTGGAAGGTACTGCCAAAGGAGATTTGGCAAGTTTTTGCTTGTAGATAGTACCTCTCAATTACCATCCCTGAGTTCATTCACCTCCGATGGTTCCAGATTTCATAACGCCACAATTCTAAAGGTCCACCTTTTGTTTGACTCACTTTAGGCCTCGCCACGGGACGTTTGCCGATGTTAAAGCTGTTCATAAATGCAGTTTGTTATTCTATTGGGACGTCACACTGCAGCTGCACAGAACATTGGCGAGACCACTTTTAGAACACTGCATTCAATTCTGGTCTCCCTGCTATAGAAAAGATATTCTTAAACTTAAAAGGGTGCAGAAAATATTTACGAAGATGTTGCCAGGCTTGGAGGGTTTGAACTATAGGGAGTGGCTGAATAAGCTGGGGCTCTTTTTTCCCTGGAGCATCGGAAGCTGAGAGGTGACCTTACAGAGGTTTATAAAATCATGGGGGGCATGGACAGGACGAAGAGCCAATGTCTTTTTCTCAGGGTAGGGGAGTCCAAAACTAGAGGGCATAGGCTTAAGACGAGGGGGCAACATTTAAAAGGAACTTAAGGGGCGGTGTGTGCATGGAACAAGCTGCTAGAGGAGGAAGTGGAGATGGGTACAATTACAAAGTTCAAAAGGCATCTGATGGCTACATGAAAAGTAAGGGTTTAGAGGGAAATGGGCCAAATAAATGCTGGTAAACTGGACTAGATTAATTTAGGATATCTGGTTGGCACGGGACAAGTTGGACCGAAGGCTCTGTTTCCGTGCTAGATAACTCTATGACTCTATCACTGTTTGCTTGTGATGATGGAAGTGAAAGTTTAGGGGATGCATTGGGTAGCAATCAAGTGCGTTGATTTGTCCAAGATGTCAATCTGGAGAGGTATTGGAGCCATATGAATGAATGAAAAAAAATACACATACCTGTTTTACAAAACTGCACAACATCTTTATGCAATAAAGATAAAATACTTGTTTACGGACGGCCAAAATGTTCAAACCCCCATATATCTAGCCATGGAAATTTCACATGCAATCAAAATATCTCCCTCCAACAGCTGCACAGTACCACTCCCTGTTCTACAACTGTCCATTCTTCATTTGCAGTTTTTTGTTGTGGGGGTGGTCTCCACTTCCTCATCAGCACTCTGTTGTTAAGACAACGGCAATCAGAACTCCTTCAGCGTCTAACTCAGCATAAGTCAACAGTGCTAACTTATTTAATTCAAGATCTGCTTTTTGTGCTTCAATTAATAATGTCATAGCAAACATTTCACCTGGATTATCTTCACCTGTCGGTATAGTTTCAGTTACTCTTTCATTTTGTTCATGATGTGACATGAACCCTTATTTGTAGATTTTGGTTAACCATCCTTCTGGTTACGACATACAAAAGAAAACTACCACGAACCTGTTTCTGTAACTGTTCTGCCTCTTGAGCATCCTTTCAGTATTCTGTAATTATAGGTGAGGCTACTCACGTTAGTCGAGCCAAATTATTGCCTAGAAATCTACTCCCTCAACAGGTAGGGTTTATACCACTCCAACAATTACTTCTCCTGATAACAAATCACATTCCGGTTGAACTTTATACAGAACCAGAATATATTCTTCACTGATCTATTTATTTATACTTTAGCTTCCATCAAACTCTCTAAAAAGAAAACCAATATTTTCTTCCAAAAAAGTGATTGTGTGGTCCTTTTATTTCTCAGTATTGTTATGGATTTAGCTGCCTCACCTGAAGAAAAAGGAGTCACTTTCCCTTCCAACAAAAATCCTGCATACCTCTCACCCGCCCATCACTTTACTTACGACAGAATTCACCTTAGCCTTTTTGTTATAGACGGGACTACAACCTGGTCCGTAGTGTTTTCCTTTTGAGTTCCTTTCTCCAATTCACGTTTACATCGCAACTTCCAACATTCTAAACACACATGGCCCAATTTATTGCAACAGAAACATTTAAGCTTCCAAATTTCACCTGCACCCTCAGCAATTTCCTTCTTAATCTGAGGAGTTCTTGGGGTATCCCTACTGTCCATTCTGTACATGGCTATCTGTCCTCCTTTCACTTTCTTACTTTTTATTCTTCTCAAACTTCCAGGTGTGACCAAAAAAAGGTTAATGGATCAGTTCATAATCATCAGCCATTATAGTTGCTTATCTTGTTGTTGCTACTCTTCAGTCTTGTGTATGAATTTTCATTACAGAAGGCAAGGAAGCTTTAAATTCTAAAAGAATAATTCCTCTTAGAACATTGTAAACTTTCTCAGCCTTAACACTCTTGCTCACCTATCAAAATTATTCTACTTAACTACCTCAAATTCAGTATAAGTTTGTTGAGGCTATTTCCTTAAATTCTGAAACCTCTGCGTGCAAACTTCCAGGACCAACTCACATGCATTTGGAATAGTTCTTTTTACCTCACTGTAACCAATACTCTGACAGGATTGCATAAATCTCTTGAGCTTTACCAGTTAATTTGCTTTGTATGGGTAAGGTCCAATTGGCTTTTGGCCATCTCATTTAGGTTACTATCTTCTCAAACAATATGGAAATACTTTTCAAATCATTCTCTTCAGAATTTGACAAAGCCTGAACTACTTAAATATCTTCTGACTTGTGGATGACTAGAACCTTCCTCTTCCAAGCCTACCAAAATGTCCGGTTTAGCTTGCCTAAACTGCATCACTTGTAATTTATATTCATTTTCTTTCTTTTGCCTCTCTAGTCCACTGTTTTAAGTTTTAATGTTCTTTTTCTCTCTTTTTCTGCTCTTTGGAATTGCATCTTCAATTTTCTCATTTTCATTTGCCTAAGTTGCAACTCAAGGTTCACTGATGCATCCAACATACTTCCTGGTCTCTATTTCCATTAAACTCAACTATGTTGTTATTAAATCCATCATGTCTGCCTTCTTAGCTTGCTCTAGTAACTTTATCTCCAGCCTACTGGCTAACTCTGCAAGTTTAGCTTTAGTTATACCCTGCAACCGTACCAGGGGAACTTCTGGTACTTCCAAAATATCTTTAACCATTTCCAGTGCCAGTTTAAATTGGTGTACAAACTTGGTGTCCGATTACCCATTCTAAGTACCAAAATTCAATTCCAGACCTATGTTGTCTACATTTAATGATCCCAGACAAGCCCCCAGTTATGTTTTGACATAGAGACAGACAGCCGAATCAAATCAGCTTCCCTACCTCCGTTTTCATAACATTGTAAAATTAAAATACTTAGTGGCCTTCAAAATTAACGCCCAATGGTTCATAGCTAAACTTTTTTAATAACCAATATCAGACTTTGAGAATAACTGATGAGACACCAGACTTATGGCAAAAGATTCAACAAATCACTAATAATACACTAGTTTTATCAGAACAAAGTTATAATGAAAGATATTCCAATTAATATCTATGATTTAAACTTAATCCTCTTTAATTCTTGCTCGTACTCACTCACAAAGACAAACAGACACAGTTAAGGGATAAATCAAAGGGGAAAAATAAATGAGATGTAACTGGCCAGTTCAATTAAGCAGATTCCATGATCCCTAACTTCGTAGGATTATACCTTGTTTTGGTTTCTAATGACACCAATGCATGCAAATATCATGCAGTAAACTCGGAGGAATATTCACTTAATTCTTATAACTGTTGCTTTGTTCTCCAAGCCTCCAATAAGTTGGTAATGAGAGGACAACCAGGAAGCAATAAAGCCCCAGTCCTGCAGCTTTTGCTGTCACAATCCTTCTGACTTCAAATAAAACAGTTCAACTCTCTTTGTTAGTCTGGACATCTCCCTAGGAGGTCCCAGTTAACATTCAACACCTGCCAACTGTTTGAGCATAAGGCCTCTTTAGAGTCAAAGCATCATTAGAGTATATTTTAGCGACAAGCTATCCATAATTAATTTTCAGGACTGACCTAACGAACAAAAAAAAAGTTTATTTATTCTCTTTTTTTATTAGCTGCTCACAGTGCAAAGTTTACATCACCTCTCAGCCCACCAAAAGTGATTTGGAAAAAATAACGAACTTTCATCAAGGGAGTCTCTCTTTAAGGATATGATTACTGTCTTATACTTTTGTCAAGGATGTTACTTGCCAATTGTTAGCCCTAGCCAAAATGTTGCCTAAATCTGGCTGCAAGCGTGATCGCTATCTGATAATTTGCAAACAAGTATCAAAAATCCTGAACTGAGCAGATGTCACCACTTCTTAGCTTATGTTAGAGGAAAATTACTTAAGTGTCCACACAATCGCACCAATACAAATCTTTTACTTTGTACCCATCTCAGTTGTTGATCACTTGCAAAGTGAAGTATTAGATTTGCAAATAATAGATGGTCAAACACAAACCCTAACAGGACGACATAAAGCTCACAGAAGTATTTTATTTTGCTTCATTTCTCAGTCAATGTTACGTTCAGTTCTAGACAACTGTAG